ACTGCGTAGAAAAATGTACAGAGTTGTGTGTTTCAGTGGCACAACGTGTTCCCTGATGGAATATTTAAAGGCTAATTCGTCATTAGAAAACGTTTTAAATCGTGCTGACTCAGCAGAAAACCCTTTTGTTAAAAAGTAAATTTGATCTGAATAAAAAGAAAATCAGGAAACCCTGATACAAATCTTGAGAGTTCCTGGTTTGACATCTCACGAGTCCTCAACCGGAGGCTTCATTAAGCTGTAAATGTATCAGCCGCATTGTGCTGGTCTGGGTAGGGAGTCCTGCATGCTGTCGCATGACAATTTCAACTTGTTTTCGAAATGAACTGCCACATAAGGCTTTTCTTTCTTCTGTTTTCAAGAACTAAAATAGTTCACGGCAAGTTTCACAAGTTGGTGAACGATAACATGAATCATTAGCTGTCAAGACTTTGAGAAATATTCCATTAATAATGGGAGCCTGTTTTTTTTTTTTTCACTTGAACCCAGCATAACATTTTGCAGCGTTTCAGTTCATTTAAAATTTGTTTGACAGCCGTAATGAAAACATTCCCAATCCAGCCTTGCAAATGGGACTGTCAGTACTACAGCAGAGCACAGGATCATCAGTACCCTTTGGGCTTGATTCATACACACTGTAATAAGTAGCACATTGATATAGCAAGTGGCACGGAGACAGAGAGCATCATTATTGGTGCCGTCTCCTGCCTGCATCCATTTAACAAATCTATTATAGAACATCACACACTGAGAAAGAGACGCATCTGTATCGCAGTCTGACAAATGGACTCTAACAGGAATGACTCATCGGTATAGAAAGTAGAAAGAGCCTCTGATGAACAGTCTGGATCTTTGTGACAGGACCATTTATGTTATATTTCAGCGTGTGTGTGTGTGTGGCACGTATAATGAGCTGACAAAGCATGGTGACTTCCTGTCTGGCCTGTAAAAGCAGCATGATCTTCCTGTATCCTCTGCTATAGGAGCCCACCTGGGGCTGCAGACACACACCACATACACTGTCTACAGCTGCACCTAATAAGCTACATGGATGGAGAAATTCCCTGTATTACGGTCTCGGTCATCTTCCTCACTTTCCTCAGTGGTACCGTACTATTCACGTGGTTGCCGGTGGGCGGAGAATGTTTGTCTGACCTTCTTAGCTCTCATCCCACACTCTCTTAAAACTTGCGCCAAGCTTTAAGCCTACGCACAGAATATCAAGTGTGTCAAGAGTGTCAAGCCAAACACACAAGAAAACAATCCATAGCCCATAAGTCTATAAACTCTGTTGAATTTTTGGCTGAGTACCATGCAGAAAAAAAAAGTAACAACATTAATCATGGGCATTTTAGGAATTTAAGATGTGAATCACCTTGCTAGAAAGCAACCAAAGAGCTGTTTAAAGTTATACTTGTTTGGCACATTACCCACAGGTTTTACCGGCTGTGTATAATGTGCACATTTTTTGTAAGCTCTTCTTATGAAACATGATCCATGGAATTGTAGCAAAAAATGACAATTAGATGAAGTTTAAAGTGCAGTAGTCGCACTGCACACAATTCAAGCTGTTTATTTGCTACATAAATTGAGAACTTCCCTCACTATCATTCTGCACCTCTGTCAGCAACAATCACCCAGTGAGCTTTACACGCATTTCTCACCCTAAAAT